TGGGAGTATGTAGAAGGACACAAGGACCTCTACAAGGACGTCATGATGGATGGTGAACAGAAATTCAGTGATCCAATAGCCAGGAGGAAAACCTTTCACTTGAAGGAGATGATCTTGAACCTCCTCACTCTGGGGATTATCAAGCTGCTAATTGGCCAGGTGAGGAATTCTCGTGATTAGCATTGACCATCTTTTTTATCTTCATTAAAAGAACAATGCGCTGACCGGAGAAGTGAAGGATTCTGAGATTCTCGTGTTTATTATTTTATTACATAGGATTTTACGATAGAGAAAAAGCCATCTTCAGAGCATAACACAATGAGGAAAGACCTTTGCTTGCTACCAAACCTGGATAACAGCCCGACCTCCATTACTGAGCCGCCGCCTTTGATAACTGAGATAGCAAATAAACAAAAAATTCTAGAAGTCACCAACAAGATAATTGGGTTGATGTCTAAAGAGGTGAGTGGTTCCGGGAATTCTGGGACATTCTCCAGTAACAGACAAGGGATGTGTCTGGATGGTGACTGTATCATTGTGTGTGTCAGGTTCCTATAAGGTGTCAGGGTGTCACTGTCTATTTCTCCATGGAGGAGTGGGAGTATTTAGAAGGACACAAGGACCTCTACAAGGACGTCATGATGGACAATCAGCCGCCCCTCACATCACCGGGTAAGAGGAGACTTTATTGTAAAGGAGAGAGCAGTACGGAGGCTCCACCTAGATCCCCCATCATCTGATAAACACATAGAAACAATGGATTCAGTCAGTGTGTGTGTTTCCTACAGATGGATCCAGTCATGGGAACCCACCAGAGAGATGTCCCCGTCCTCTGCATTCCCGGGATTCCACACAGGAAGGTCACACCATCCCTCACCATCATCAGGTAGATGGATCCAGTAATGGGAACCCACCAGAGAGATGTCCCCATCCTCTGTATTCCCGGGATTCCACAAAGGAAGATCACACCATCCCTCACTATCATCAGGTAGATGGGACTGAGCACATAGACCTAAAATTTAATTCCAAACAATAAAGGAGGATTCTTTTTGTAATCTCTTTTTTACAAACGTATTCTGTCATCTTTTGGGTTTAGGATGAAGAATTCCAATACATAAAAGTTGAGGTTAAAGAGGAAGAAGAGGAGATGTTGGTGAGTGGAGATCAGCAGTCTACGAAGGAGGGGGAGATGATTATAAAAAGTGAACAGGAAGAATCTTCTCTACAAATGGACACAAGTAAGTGAACAAAAATTGTCGAAATAGTTAACAATTCTCTTTTACGTTGTTAGATGAGTGGAAAAATTACATAGGTCTATCAAACTTAGCAAAAAAACATATAAGATCCATCTCCATTCCTCAATATAACGTCATGTTCCCAATAAATGAGGAGGAGATACTGGACACCATATGAAAGGTCCATCTCCATTCCTCAATATAACGTCATGTTCCCAACAAATGAGGAGGAGATACTGGACACCATATGAAAGGTCCATCTCCATTCCTCAATAGAAAGTCATGTTCCTAACAAATAAGGGGGAGATACTGGACACCATATGAAAGGTCCATCTCCATTCCTCAATATAACGTCATGTTCCCAATAAATGAGGAGGAGATACTGGACACCATATGAATGGTCCATTTCCATTCCTCAATATAACGTCATGTTCCCAACAAATGAGGAGATAGGGGACACCATATGAAAGGTCCATCTCCAGTCCTCAATATAACATCATGTTCCCAACAAATGAGGAGATACTGGACACCATATGAAAGGTCCATCTCCATTCCTCAATATAACGTCATGTTCCCAACAAATGAGGAGGAGATACTGGACACCATATGAAAGGTCCATCTCCATTCCTCAATATAACGTCATGTTCCCAACAAATGAGGAGGAGATACTGAACACCATATGAAAGGTCCATCTCCATTCCTCAATATAACGTCATGTTCCCAACAAATGAGGAGGAGATACTGGACACCATATGAAAGGTCCATCTCCATTCCTCAATATAACGTCATGTTCCCAACAAATGAGATACTGGACACCATATGAAAGGTCCATCTCCATTCCTCAATATAACGTCATGTTCCCAACAAATGAGGAGGAGATACTGGACACCATATGAAAGGTCCATCTTCATTCCTCAATATAACGTCATGTTCCCAACAAATGAGGAGATACTGGACACCATATGAAAGGTCCATCTCCATTCCTCAATATAATGTCATGTTCCCAACAAATGAGGAGGAGATACTGGACACCATATGAAAGGTCCATCTCCATTCCTCAATATAATGTCATGTTCCCAACAAACGAGGAGGAGATACTGGACACCATATGGAAGGTCCATCTCCATTCCTCAATATAACGTCATGTTCCCAACAAATGAGGAGGAGATACTGGACACCATATGAAAGGTCCATCTCCATTCCTCAATATAACATTGTGTTCCCAACAAATGAGGAGGAGATAGTGGACACCATATGAAAGGTCCAACTCCATTCCTCAATATAACGTCATGTTCCCCACAAATGAGGAGGAGATACTGGACATACTGACTTCTGAATGTAAGACAAGAAATATTACCGATGATATTTTTTAATAAATTGTTTCCAACAGATGCCATGGATCACTATGATTGGAGCAGGGATACCTCTGAGGGACATGGTGGTATTTTATCTCCAGGGTATGATGGAGAAGACAATGGCTTTACACGATATTCTCCAGAAGTAAATACGTTTTCCGGTAATATTCACCACAGACCTTACCAATGGGAGAGATTAATGGTTCCCTTTAATCCTGAGGGATCCTCTGATACTGTGACCCCAGAAATACAATTCATGTCTCATAGAAGACGCAGAGGAAGTCACAGAGAGTCAGCGTTCTTTCTCATGTGTAGAGTGTGGGAAATGTTTCGTTGACAAAAAAGGTCTTCTCAGACACCAGAGGAATCACACAGGGGAGCGTCCCTTTTTCATGTTCAGAGTGCGGAAAAAGTTTCACCGATAAAGTATACCTTCACCTGCACCAGAGAAGTCACACTGGCGAGCGGCCTTTTTCCTGTTCAGAGTGCGGGAAATGTTTTAGTCAAAAAGGAATGCTTCTTGCGCACCAGAGAATTCACACGGGTGTGCGCCCTTTCGCATGTTCAGAGTGCGGGAAATCTTTCACTGCCAAAAAAGAACTTCTTCAACACCAGAGAACTCACACGGGTGAGCGGCCTTTTTCATGCCCAGTGTGCGGGAAATGTTTTACTGCTCAGGGAAACCTCCTTAGACACCAGAGAGGTCACACAGGCGAGCAACCTTTTTCATGTCCAGAGTGTGGGAAATGTTTCACTTCAAAAGGAGGCCTTCTTAGACACCAAAGAAGTCATACGGGTGAGCGTCCTTTCTCCTGTTTAGAGTGCGGGAAAACTTTCATAGTGAAAGGAGACCTTATTGTACACCAGAGAAGTCACACCGGTGTGCGCCCTTATTCATGCCTAGTGTGCGGGAAATGTTTTGCTGCAAAAGGCAACCTTCTCAGGCACCACAGATGTCACACAGGTGAGCGTCCTTATTCGTGCTCTGCATGCGGGAAATGTTTCACTGAAAAACGAAACCTTCTTTTGCACCAGAGAAGCCACACAGGTGTTCATCCTTATTTATGCTCAATGTGCGGGGAATCCTTCCCTACGAAAGGAAACCTTCTTGAACACGAGAGGAGTCACACAGATGTGCATCCTCATTTGTGCTCAGAGTGCGGGAAGTCTTTCACTACAAAAGAAAACCTTCTTGAACACGAGAGAAGTCACCCGGGTAAGCATCCTTCATAAATGAACTTTGTATGAACCCATATTCATGCTCAGCGTGTGGGAAATGGTTCACTCCGAAAGGAAACTGTCCTCGTCACCAGAAAATTCACACAAGTGGACTTCCTTTTTCATGCTCACCACGAAAGGAAACTTTCGAAAACACTAGAGACGTCTCAAGGGTGAGCATCCTTGTTCATGCTCAGTGTGTGGGAAATGTTCTACATCTGAGAATCCACGGACGGTTTTTCGTGGTCAAAGTGGGGTAATTGTTATAAATATGAATGGAATCTCGTCAGGCATCAGAGTACACAGAGTATTGGGCGCCGGCCTTTCCACACACATTGTCTTTAATGGCCTCCCAGTCTTAGTCCGTAGGGTTCAATATTGAGTTGGCCCCGCCCTTTCCACGCACATGACCTTTAATGCCCCCCCCAGTGTTAGTCTGTAGGGTTCAATACTGAGTTTGCCCCGCCCTTTCCACGCACATGACCTTTAATGGCCTCCCAGTCTTAGTCCGTAGGGTTCAATATTGAGTTGGCCCCGCCCTTTGCAGCTATAACAGCTTCAACTCTTCTGGGAAGGCCGTCCACAAGGTTTAGGAGGGTGTCTATGGGAAGGTTGGACCATTCTTCCAGAAGCACATTTGTCAGGTCAGGCACTGATATCGGGGGAGGAGGCCTGGCTCTCAGTCTCTGCTCTAATTCATCCCAAAGGTGTTCTATGGGGTTGAGGTCAGGACTCTGTGCAGGCCAGTCAAGTTCCTCCACCCCAAACTGGCTCCACCATGTCTTTATGGACCTTGCTTTGTGCACTGGTGCGCAGTCATGTTGGAACAGGAAGGGGCCATCCCCAAACTCCTCCCACAAAGTTGGGGGCATGAAATTGTCCAAAATGTCGCCTTAAGAGTTCCCTTCACTGGAACTAGGGGGCCAAGCCCAACCCCTGAAATACACCCCCACACCATAATCCCCCCTCCACCAAACTTTACACTTGGCACAATGCAGTCAGGCAAGTACCGTTCTCCTGGCAACCACCAAACCCAGACATGTCCATCGGATTGCCAGATAGAGAAGCGTGATTGGTCCCTCCAAAGAACATGTCTCCACTGCTCTAGAGTCCAGTGGTGGCATGCTTTACACCACGGCATCCAACGCTTTGCATTGAACTTGGTGATGGAAGGCTTGGATGCAGCTGCTCGGCCATGGAAACCCATTCCATGAAGCTCTCTACACACTGTTGTTGGGCTCATCTGAAGGCCACACCAAGTTTGGAGGTCTTTAGCTATTGACTCTGCAGACAGTTGGTGACTTCTGCGCACTGTGCGCTTCAGCATGCGCTGACCCCTCGCTCTGTCATGTGACGTGGCCTACCACTTGGTGGCTGAGTGGCTGTTGTTCCCAGTTGCTTCCACTTTGTTATAATCCCACTAACAGTTGAGCGTGGAATATTTAGTAGCCAGGAAATGTCACGGATGGATTTATTGCACAGGTGGCCACCTGTCATTGGACCACGCTTGGAGTGACTGAGCTCCTGAGAGCGACCCATTCTTTCACCAATGTTTGTAGAAGCAGTCTGCATGCCTAGGGGCTTGATTGTATACACCTGTCTCCATGGAGGGGATTGGAACAACTGAATCACATGATTGGGAGGGGATTGGAACACCTGAATCACATGATATGGAGGGGATTGGAACACCTGAATCACATGATATGGATGGGATTGGAACACCTGAATCACATGATATGGAGGGGATTGGAACACCTGAATCACATGATTGGGAGGGGATTAGAACACCTGAATCACATGATATGGAGGGGATTGGAACACCTGAATCACATGATTGGGAGGGGATTAGAACACCTAAATCACATGATATGGAGGGGATTAGAACACCTGAATCACATGATTGGGAGGGGATTGGAACACCTGAATCACATGATATGGAGGGGATTGGAACACCTGAATCACATGATATGGAGGGGATTGGAACACCTGAATCACATGATTGGGAGGGGATTAGAACACCTGAATCACATGATATGGAGGGGATTGGAATACCTGAATCACATGCTTGGGAGGGGATTGGAACACCTGAATCACATGATATGGAGGGGATTGGAACACCTGAATCACATGATATGGAGGGGATTGGAACACCTGAATCACATGATATGGAGGGGATTGGAACACCTGAATCACATGATTGGGAGGGGATTAGAACACCTGAATCAGAAGATTGAGAGGGCGGGGCCAATACATTGGGCAGTATAGTGTATATCGGCATATAAAAGGGGAAGAGTCAATCGAAGAAATGTATAAAAGGTCAATGTTAATTATCAGTGGAGCTTTCTTCTGTCTGGTGAGATTAGCTTTCTATGGTTCCTGATCCTTGTACCCTGACCACCCATGGTCCTCCAACCCACCCCCTCACCCATGGTCCTCCAACCCACCCCCTCACCCATGGTCCTTCAACCCACCCCCTCACTCCCGCGTTGGGGTGTCCTTATCCCTCTCTTTTCATTCTTCACATTATTATAGTCCAGCAGAGAGAGTGGTGGCCCCTTGTAATGGGGACCCAGACCCGGGAACTCGAGACGTAGGCATGATTGTGACCCCAGGAGCTTCAGACTTGAAGGGGAGGGAGGTGGATTCTATAGTAAATTCCTCCTACAAACCAGGGTGTCCACCAGCATCATGGTTGTCCCCCAAAGGGCCAGTTGTATCTCCAAGATGAGATGTCCTGAGCACCCCACTCCCTCTTACAGCAGATGGCCCCTCCCCGCCATCAGAAATCCCCCACCCTCCATTACATCACAGTGCAACCCCCCTTACCTTGTGCTGTTGCTGAGAAGAAGCTGGTTGCAGAGCCAGGAAACAGAAAGTGCAGGGTCTGGAGGAGGACCAGAGGAGGGCTGGAGTCAGCTGCCAGAGTCTGTTGAATGCTGAGACCAGGGGAGGTGGAGATAACGGGTTGCTTTGGCTGCCCACAGAGGTGCAGGATCTGTAGGAGGAGTTTTGTTCTCTCCGCTGCCCTCTGCTGAGATGGGGGGGAGACAAGGATGTCCACGGCTATGCGGAGAAAGGCAGGATCTGGCCTCTGCCCTCCTCTCTGCTGCTGAGACAAGGTAGGGATAGAGACAAGGGGGTGCTGCAGCTGCACAGAAAGGCTCAGGGTCTGTAGGAGGAATTCTGTCCTCCTCTACTGCCAACTGCTGAGATAAGGTGAGGGTAGAGATGAGAGGGGTGCTGTTGCTGCACAGGGAAGGGCAGGATCTGGCAGAGGAGCTCTGCTTTCCTCCCTGCTGCTGACTGCTAAGAAAAGGTGAGGGCAGAGATGAGGGGGGTGCTGAAGCTGCACAGAGAAGGGCAGGATCTGGCAGAGGAGTTCTGTCCTCTTCTCTGTTGTCAGCTGCTGAGACAAGGTAGAGATGGAGACGATGGGGGTGCTGTGGCTGCACAGACGGGGGCAGGATCTGGCAGAGGAATTCTGTCCTCCTCTCTGCTGCCGACTGCTGAGACAAGGTGAGGGCAGAGATGAGGGGGGTGCTGTGGCTGTACAGAGAGGTTTAGGATCTGGAGGAGGCACTCTGCCCTCCTCTCTGCTGCAGACATCTAAGACAAGGTGAGGATGGAGATGAGGAAGGGGGCGAGTACGGGAATACACAGACAATTCTTTTCATAGGTTGGTATTGGCTGTTGCATGTTATCGTTCGTCGTATGTTTTACCGAAGTAGCTGGATTTTTTATTGGTCCAACCAATGTATATTATGAATAACTTTGATATATTTATTACTCTAATCATACCAGATATAACTTCGCTTTAGTCTTCGTATTAGTGAATGTTAATCGTTCCTTCCAATTTTGTAAAATAAATCATCTACCCTTTACACTACTCTGTCCAGAGTCTTTTATAAATATTCAGAATTCAGAATTCTCAGCCTGGGATGAGTCAGCCTGAGAGTGAGATACCCATATAGAAGAAAAATATATTTTAAAAATATTCTTCCCAAATATATTGACATATATTTGAAATGCTACAATTTTGGCCGTATTCAATATATTTCAATAAATAAATAGCCGAGCATATACAATATCCTACAGTTTCAGAAAGCGTGCGGCTGGATTCAGTGGCGTCCTGAGGCAGGTGCGGGGGGGTGTGATCCGCACTGGGTGACACCGACGGCACGAGGTGACACCGGACCCACTCCACAAAAAGGTAAGTTGTAAAGCAAGCCGACGATCCTCGCAGGATGGATGGGATCCTGGCAGCCCTGGTTAGACCAGTTCCCATCGATGAATCCAGCCAGAAACATCCCTAGGGTTGGTGTCACCCGGTGTGGTGACACCCCCTCCCTCCGACGATCCCCGCAGGATGAATCGGACTCCAATCCATTATGCTCAGTCCACCGATCCAATCCATCCTGCGGGGATCGTCGGCTTTCTTTACAACTTACCTTTTCTTTGAGCTGGTCCGGTGTCACCCCATATAGGTTGCATGCCGACGATCCTGCAGGGATTGTTGGATTTCTTTATAACTTACCTTTTCTTGGAGCGGGTCCGGTGTCACCCCCTTAGGTTGCATTCCGACGATCCTGCGGGAATCGTTGACATTCTTTACAACTTACCTTTTCTTGCAGTGGGTCCGGTGTCACCCCGTATAGGTTACATGCCGACGATACTGCGGGGATTGTCGACTTTCTTTACAACTTATCTTTTCTTGGAGCAGGTCCGGTGTCACCCTGTATAGGTTACATGCCGACTATCCTGCGGGGATCATCGGCATGCAACCTATACGGGGTGACACCGGTGTAGTGGCAAGATGTGTCTCCCATGTAGATACTATATGTCCCCCTGAAGCAACTGCGCATGTCCCGGTTTTAACCGGGACATGAGCAGTTGCTTCAGGGGGGACATATAGTATCTACATGGGAGACACATCTTGCCGCTATACCGGACCCGCTCCATGAAAAGGTAAGTTGTAAAGAGTCGACAATCCCCGCAGGATGGATCGGATCTATGGATTGAGCATAATGGATCGGACTCCTGCGGGGATCGTCGACTTTCTTTACAACTTTGCTTTACTTGGAGCGGGTCCGGTGTCACCCCGTATAGCTTACATGCCGACGATCCTGCGGGGATCGTCGGCATGCAACCTATACGGGGTGACACCGGTGTAGCGGCAAGATGTGTCTCCCATGTAGATATGTCTCCCTGAAGCAACTGCACATGTCCCGGTTTCAACGGAGTCCGATCCATTATCCTCAATCCGCAGATCCGATCCATTCTGCGGGGATCGTCGGAGGGGGTGTCACCAAGTGTTGCCGCACCGGGTGACAAAAACCCTAGGGACGCCCTGGCTGGATTCATCGATTGGAACTGGTCTAACCAGGGCTGCCAACTTCGTAAGAATTTGTTGTGAGTATCTGTAAGTATTGCCGTGAGCTGCTTGTTTACTAACATACCACGTGCAGGGGTGGACTGACCATTTGGAAACTCGGGCACTGCCCGAGGGCCCGGGGTCAGTTGGGGGCCCCATGAGATGCCCCTGGTACCTCTTTCATAGGCTTTTTTGAGTTTGGGCAAGGACACGGGCCCCATGATACCCTATTGCCCAAGGGCCCATGAGTTGTCAGTCCGCCCCTGACCACGTGCCTATAGTTTCACCTCCTCAAATGAGAGGAGGGCCATTTTCCATGGCTTCCCAAGTGTCTGTTTTGTGGCCATAAAAGTTAAGAGTCGCGACTTACGAGTACGCGTTTCCTTTTTGCTAGTCGCTATATAGGGTTATGGAGCAAGGCTTCCCAAGGACCTGCAAGATCATATTGACCATGGCATGAATGAGGATCCATAGATAGTTTGACCTTAGGGCACGTCCACCATAAATGCTCCACGTCGCCTGGGTTTGAACATCCTCAAAAGCATTGAGCAGGGTTTGTGGAGAGGTATTTTGCACCTTTTTGCACCATCTTCCTTGAACAAATTCTCCAGTGTCACTACATTCCGTGAAGAGCAAAATAGTGGCTCACACATCTAATCCAATCTTCTAGAGATTGTGGGGGTACCGAAATCTTCCTCCCGGCATGTACTATAGGATTGAGCTTGGGCATTAGAGAAGGTCAAAATGGATGTGTATAGTAACAAAAGTAGGCCTTGGGTGGTTGGGCAAAATTCGGCAAATGCAGTCGAAGGCTTGGATCTATTGTAATTTTGAGTTAGGAAGTCCAGTGTCAGCTGATATTCTACAGATACGTGAAGCCACCACTCTGACATCACCACCATCTTGGTTCTCCTCCTCATGGTCCTAGTGATAGTCTTCATAATTTCACAGTCATTGACTTCATCAGTGACATGGAACCCCACCAATAGTGGCTTACAGGGTTTGTCAGTGACATGAATGGAACAACATATGTAACATATTCGTGGGAAAAAAAGGACCATTTGGGTGCAGCATTGCGTGACGGCGCAGTTAAAATAACGCGGCGCCGTAACGCAAAAAAAAAAAATGGCCTGCTCAGGAAGATGACAGGTTAATCACACAGGTTATATGGCTGATTAAAGTGGTCATTAAAATCACTTAGCGCCTTATCTGCATTAAATCAGCCTCAGACCCCGCGTCATTAATATGTGTTCAAGTCTAAAGGGATGAGGTGGCCACCCTACTGATAAAATTGCCACAAAAACATCCACTTAATTTAGCCAATAAAGGAGGTCACTTAAACTCCAACCTTTCTGGAAATTACTATTAAATTATTTTCAGAATACATTTTGATTGTTTCAATTAAAACTTGGTTGACAAAGTATTGAAAATAATGTTCTAGGTAGCTGGTTTTATGTTCTGCACAAGGACATGCCCCTATGTGTTGTCTGTGGACCGCAGAGCCCAGGAAGTGATAGGAGGCACAGACCGGAAGTGATGTCACATACAGAGAACTTCCGGGTGAGAGGTGAGTTGAGAGGAAGTAGAAAGGAGAGATTTGCTGGAACTGGCAACAGAGCAGGTAATAAGATATTATTTTATATTTATACCCAATAAACCCCCCATCGTGTTCATCCTCTTCCTCCATCATCATGTCCGTCCTCTTCCTCCATCGTCACTGTGATGTCTTATATGGGTTTATAGACCGGATACATCCTGAATATACAGCCATTTATCCAACTGTCCATCCGGAGCCTCTGGTTTATAGACCGGAT